ATTGTGTAATAGTCACCAACTGGTTTAAAGACTTACTATATACTACCACTATATTGTCTATATGGTTACGAGGTGTTAACATGTATTGTTGCACCGTCGCATTGTACCTGCGAATAGCACACACGAATCCCTTAAAGTAAGCCTTACTGTCGGAACCGTGAGCGAAAAACCAACTTCGCCATAGGTACTCGTCCAAGTACGATGGAAGGTGGGGACGGTGCATGCCGCGCATCGCTTTGGAAAAGCGCTTGATGCGAATTTCCCATGCACCTTCAATGGATTGTGTATGACCACCGTTGACGGGGTTCACAAAGTTTTCCGTGTGGTTCACCCACTCGTGACTGTAGCCTTGGTCGGCTAGTAACGGGTTGTTGGCCAGAGTATGCTGCTCGTTTGAAGCACGTACGACCCGAGCTTGTCCGAACTACAATGCGGTTATAACATAGACCATGTAGCCTATATAGTCTATATAGACCTGACGATATACACCATGTGCACACATGTACTGTACTTTCTTACATAATGTGGGAGCCCGGAGAAACATGTTTCTTAATCAAACGCGACAAGGTTGGCTTCGTCCTGTCAGCACCAGTTATGACACCAAACCACTTCCCTGTGGCTCTATCGACACCACCGAAAACCCAGTGCCCGGGATAGTGCCTGCCAAGGTTGTACTTGCTCATTTTCTTCATGGACGTTTCATCGATTTCCACTGTAACGCCTGGCCCTCCAACCTACCACATATCGATATAGGACTATATAGCACGATATATGCATGTATCGGCATATATAGACGTATATAGGACTATATAGACATGTATAGGACTATATAGTACAAGTCTTACCATCATGGGTGTACGCAGCATCTCCATCGAACACAACTCGCGGCAGTAGTTGTACCAGTCGACTCCAGTTTCCATTGGCATTTCTTCTTCAGCGACGACAGCGGACACAGATCACCATGAGGCCCACGCAAATAGCATGCGAACGATCTTGTCCATAGGTAGTTTGGAGCGTTGGAACCACGAACCTGTTCGAACACCAATCTCGACGTTCCCGAGACCATCATAGGCACGGCGTCGACATCGCCAACGCTTCTTCGCCGCATCATACGTCATTGCACAGGGGCAATTAGGACATCAGGCAACACATGTGCATTCGTCGCCAGTGGCCTTCAGGTCAGAGTGCCACGAGAAGTCCGCGACGTCCGACATGTCGTACAGCTCGACTTCGGCACGGACGGCATCGGCAGGCACCTGGTCGAGGGGCGGACCGTGTGCGTCGTTTTCAGCCATTTGAAATGTGAGGTGTGATGGTCAGACAAAAATTATCCGGATGATTTAATGTGTACATGTACTATAGTATACCTTAGTGAAGTACTGAATTTTGTATATAGTCTATATAGTATGTACTGTGCATTGGTTGTGTAGGTAATGTAGTCTATATAGTGCATATAGTGTCAATTTAGTGTTGAATATAGTCTACATAGTGACTATACCGTGCACATATAGTCTATATAATACATATATAATACATATATAGTGTATATAATACATATATAGTGTATATAATACATATATAGTCTATATAATACATATATAGTCTATATATAGAGTACAGTGTATGTGTAGACTATATCGTCACGATATAGCCTATGTATGCACGAAATAGTCGTGATATAGACTATATCGTGGCTATATAGCCTATTTGGACAATGTTATCTATGCCTTTACTATACAAATAATAACATAATCTCAACGCATAAAACTCAACACAAAAGTGCAGTTTCCTACTTCTTAGCTCTCTTGGCTACTCGGCGGTTGCGCGCGGTTGGACGAGACGGTTCAACTAGGTTGGATTCTTCTACTTCAGAAAGTCCGGGTGATTCGTGCAAAAGGGCGCGAATCAGATCAGTGCAGTCCATACCTTGGTGACGCACTAAACGAATAAGAACGAGTAGTACGGCCTTTCCACCAGACTTACTCCGTTCTACTAGGTTCACTAGTTCGATATCCGACTCTATGGACACTTCAGGTTCAGTGGGCGTCGAGGCTGGCGCTGTTGCTGTGACCACAAGAGGAGGCGCCGGGATCATCGAGCCGTATAGAGTGCGGCCCTTGCGAGGCCACTCCAACTTGTGCACGGCTTGCACATGGACTTTGAATCCTTCGTTGGAGTGAGGATACGATTTGTCGCACTCAATTTCGTTGTCAACGCGGCAGAGCCACTTGCGAAGGTAGTTCTCTCGCTGCGACGACATTCTGGAAATGAAGTTCCAGTGAATTCGTGGAGGTGCGAAAAAAATCCGGTAAACCATTACTTTATCCGGATTTTCTGGTGGTCACAAATGCTTATAGTGCTCGTCCTACACTAAAAAGACTTGCTCGCACACTAATTTCTTCGACACGCCACAAAACTCGTTTAACTTGAATCTATATATGGTATATAGTCCTGCGGGGGGTAAAACCGATAAGAGCCCCCTGCGGAACCGCATCAACGCTCAGAGCGTCAAGTGCTTCGGCGAGCCAATTGTGTCGGAGCAGTTAGTGGGTGCTCTGTTCCTATCGCTCCTCCCCCAGCAGTACTTTAGGTCCTCGGTTAAGTTCACCAAGGATTCATTTACTATGAACAAAGTGTTTCAGTTGGTGGTGAACACGTTTGGGTCCAAAAGTAAGTTGGACATTTTTCGATGTCAACCGGATTTGGAAAATCCCTAAACAAGTCCGAATTTCAGGTTGGCCAAATTCTGGCTAATGAGCGCAAGCGAAAACCGGATGGCGGCCAGAATGAATGTTTCTACTGTAACGGCAAGTACAACGAAGGTGCCAAGGTGCACATGAAGAAGGACTGCCCAAAGCGCAAGGAAGATTTTGCGAAGGGGTGCCATTGTTTGGAAAGCTAAATCTATACGAGGTATCAACTTTAGCTGGTACAAACACTTCAGCTCTACCAGTTAGGCTCACTCCGCATCCAGAATCTAAGACCCAATGATTCTTAGTAACCACACTACTCTCATGTAATAGATGAAACGAGGTTAGTCTTACCGCATACTACAACTGCATGGTGAGGTCATCCAGGCTAGCAGCCGCCTCCTCCATGTCCGTGGCAGTGCGTTCGCCCTGTAGCTGTAGCAATTGCAGGGTCGTACTACATCAGGCACATGAGTACCAAGGAACGCCAAGTTGTGTATCAAAGCGTCAAGGCACAAACATATAAAGGAGATACTCTAACACTAAGCAAAATGGAATTATACTGAAGGAATAGCATGTGAGGCTCGGTCACGTTGGTCGAGCTATGCTTGTTCGACTTCTCAGCAGTGGACAAGTGAAATGTGTGCCAATGATTGAGGCCAAAGTACTCAACGAAGTGGCATTCTACTGCAAGGTGTGTGTGTAAATGAACAGCAATAGAATGTCCTATAGGAACTTACAAGGGTCGAGGGACGACGATGTCCACAGCACTCTGCATTCTGACACGGATGGTCCCATGAAAGTGAAGGGGCAATGTGGTCCTCCAGCTGGGATAAAGTACTACGTAAATCTGATTTGTGATAAATCATCATGGAAGTGGTGTTTTCCTATTTGCAAGAAAAGTGATGCTGTAAATAAGATCAAGGAATGTGTGCGTCAAATCGACAAAGGTAGATACTCTGTACGAGTACTGCGAACTGATGGAGGCAAAGAGTTCGTCAACAAGACCCTGGAGGACTTCTGTCGTATCCAGGGAGTTCGATTTGAGAAGTCCAATCCGTACTCCCCTGAAGAGAACGGATCAGCGGAACGTGAGCACCAAACTAACAGTGCCCGACTTCATCGAACCCTCTTTTCAGCATAGATCGAGCAAATGAAGTCCAATTTATATGGGGTTTTGTATGCTGCATAGAGAAATTCAATACGATATATACTGTACAATTCAATACCTTTAAAAGACAATTGTCTTTGAGTTATACTACATTTAGTTGAATATGCATTTATAGAGGTATTCCCAGGCTTGATCTTTGTGACCCTTTGTGAATTTATTCACCACAGCCAGCGATAATAATAGACAACGTCGGTTAACAATCATGATAATGCCATATAACATGGATCCAGCCGTCAAAGCATGCTTCGACTTCGTCAAGAATGCACGCCATCGTACGTTGACTCGTGAAGAGCGACTTGACATTGTCCGCCTCCATGCCTACTTTAAAAGTGACGGGCAAAAAGAGGTGGCCAAGAAAGTTGCACAAGCCCTTGGCCGTAGCCTTGATGTCGTAAAAGATGTCATGCGTGAGTATACACACTTTGGCACTGTCACTGCTGCCGTGCCAGCCGGGAATAGATCCAACCACAAGAACAGAATACCACACACAGCGGAAGTAATCCAGCTCGTTCAAGAGTTCGTACGCGACAGACGGGCGACGAGAACACGTACCACTGCTGTCGACGTAATGGGTTTCCTTGTGGAACACGAGATCATCCAAGTTGACCTCAACAACAAGACGCAAGAGGAGTCTGCCATACGCACCGTTCAGCGCTTCCTCAGCAAGCAAGGATACAAACGCGGGAGTCGAAAGGGTTCGTCCACGTACCACCTCTCCAAGAAGAACGCCATCGCACGTGTCGTATATGTCCAACTTATGCACCCAACGAACTCGCCGGCATCAACACAGGCTGTGGTGTACACCGATGAGTCGTACATCCACCATCACTACAAGTGCCACAACGACAGCTTGTATGACCCGAACGACAGCCTCGACAAGGCACCAAAGGAGAAACACAAGGGCCGACGTTACTGCTTTATCGCAGCAATCTTGGATGCTCCAACCGTCGATTGCCAACTGATGGGGCTCGACATTTTTACAGGCGGCAAGTCGACAGCCAAAGAACCAAAGGACTACCATGGTATGTTCAATCATGAATATTACGTCACCTGGTTCGGCAAACTGCTCAACGAGTTGGACGCGCTCCACGTGGTCAACGCATGGATTGTCATGGACAATGCAAAATACCACAAGGGCCTCCCTTCTGACACACCGTCAAGTCGAATGCGCAAGCAGCGGTTGCAAGATGAATGCAAGCGGTTCGGAATTGCGTTTGAGCAAGGCGACTTCAAGAGTGTGCTGTGGCAAAAGTTGTCGGCCTACATTCACGTACACGTCAAGCCTGTCGTGGTGTCCATGGCTGAAGCACGAGGTCACAAAGTGGTTTACACACCACCGCATCATTCCGATTTACAGCCAATTGAACTGGTATGGGCAATCGTCAAAGGCCAAGCTGGACGAAGGTATCAGGATATTTCAAAGTTCCACGAGGTCAAAGCGCGAATTCAGCAAGCATTTGCCGATTTGACACCGTACAAGATTAAGGGGTGTATCAAAGTTGCTCAAGGTAAACTGGAGCAGCTGCACAAGCACCTCCTCCAAGTGGACGCCTTGAGCTCGGACGAAGAATCCTCAGCTGCTGACAGTGATGACGAAAGTGAAAATGACAACGAGGATTAGTTTCACTACTTGTCCTGTAAATTCATATTACCGATTACATCTAATAATTGGTTGTGATATCAAAAATTGAAGGTCAACTTTTACTGTGAAATTGTATGCCTCTCGCAGTAAATAAAATATTCCTTGGTTGGTTCGATGAAGTCGGGCACTGTAAGTTTGGTAAAGTTCGATGTGCCCTAAATGATACACAAATGTCAGCAATGTGGTGGCCAGAAGCCCTAATGTATGGCAACTACATCCAAAATAGGTCACCTAGTGCGAGGTACCCATACGAAATAGTGTATGGGAAAACTCCGGATCTAAGCTGGATGCAAGTTTGGGGCTGTGTATGCTACGCTCATGTCGCACATGACATCCGACACGACAAAAAGCTCTCAGCACGTCGAATCAAATGCAAATTCTTAGGAATCGCTGATGACTACAAAGGATATCGGCTTCTAAATGTACACATGAATCAGTTCTTCATTGCTCCGGATGTCCAATTCGATCGCGAATATGGTGAGAAGGTCGTGAGGAATGCATTCGATTCGAATGAGTCCGACCTTACCAGTAAAGAAAGTAAGCAAGTTTCAACTCTCGAATTGAATTCAGGTGAAACTGAAACACCTGCTACAACGAGTACAATGTCAGTGGGAGATATCGAAGCAGAGTGTAATTCTGACAATCCGGATTGCCAAGAGGTTGAACTGTTGACACCTCGACCGAAGAGAACACAGAGGATTCCAGTTCATTTGAAGGACTATAAGTGTTACCAAGTCCACATGCACAAGATTAAGGGTGAAGGTCATGACCTACTCGGAGTCAACATGGTCATCGTAGTGCCTCGGTCACTCAAGGCAGCTCTACTCACACCTCAACAAGAAACTGGATGGGAGCAGTGACCTCAGAATATGGTTCATTGATGGTTAATGCTACCTGGGATTTAGTTAGTTTGCCTCAAGGAAAAACTACATTACCATGTCATTGGGTGTTTGTGTAAAGTACACATTCATCGGTGAAATTGAAAGATATAAGGTGACTTGTTGCCAACGGCCAGTTTCAACAGTATGGACTAGATTACGATGTGGTATATGCTCCTGTGGCTCGGTTTGAGTCGTTAAGGCTAGTACTTGCGGTTGCAACGGTCTTAGATTGCGAAGTTCATCAAATGGATGTGCATACAGCGTTCCTAAATTGGAAACTGGACACTGAGGTTTTTATGCACCAACCTCCTGGATTTCAAAAGAGAGGACTGAAAGGTGAGCATTTGGTGTGCAAACTACTGAAGAGCATATATGGCTTAAAACAAGCACCAAAGATTTGGTATGCTGTCCTCCATGAGTTCCTTACTACAATTGGCTTTTCACGATGTGACAAAGAGTATTGCATCTATGTGAAAAGAGTGGGAGGATTGAATGAGTTGATAAATGACACGTGCACGATTGATGATTGGATAACAATCGTCGTGTATGTCGATGATTTGACCATAGTGTCACCAAAATCAGAAGAAATCAACATTTTCAAAATTGACTGTGAATTGAGAAATCGGTTCTAAATGAAAGACTTGGGCGACATCCATTATATCCTCAAAACGGAGATTCAAAGAAACAGAAGTGCCCAGACCATGACAATAAGCCAACAGAAGTACATCAAGGACTTATTGGTGAAATTTGGCCAAGAAAATGCAAAAGAAGTATCAACTCCTCAGTTAGTGGGAGTCGAGTTAGAACCTGAAACAAAGTTGTCGAAAGAGCAAATTGACAAGCAGCCGTTTGACTATAGAGGCATAGGCGGATCAC